AGTGCCTTGCGAGCCTTTGACCCTCTCCAAAACCATCAGGATATATCTATCGATTCGCGAAATGGGCTACGACTAGACAATGGAAAGCTCGTGCAACAAGGACGCTGCATCCAAACACATTGCAGAACCGGAAACCTTTCACGTTGCCACACCCCCGCGGTACATGTAACCCATACAGACACTGGTAGATCATGTCACGAATCCAAATGTACAAGTACTCGTCTTTCTCTTCAGTACCATCGAACGGAGCCGATATCGAAGCGCTTGCTCGCAAAACCGCGCAGCATCTTTGCGTCACCTGACATGCCCGGTTGTATCCGGACATTATTATCCGGATAAGATCGACAGCACGGTGCGCGCTCATCGAGGCGGATCGATATTTGAAGTTTTTCATGGAGTCTCGTGTTTCGTTCTATATGTATAGAGCATGACGCAGGGAGTCCAAAAACCAAAGAATCGTGCTCGTAGCGCACCTACAGCGTGTGCTATGCGCTGTGGTAGTTGATAAATAATGATACATTGATACATCGATACTGAGCTCAGTATCAGTTCTCAACAACTTGAATGGCACACGCTGTAGGTGCGCTACGAGCACGATTCTTTGGTTTTTGAACTTCCTGCGTCATGCTCTATACATACAGAACGAAACACGAGACTCCATGAAATACTTCAATAGTCGATCCGCCTCGATGAGCGCGCACCATGCTGTCAATCTTGTCCGGATAATAATGTCCGGATAAAATCGGCACGAGTCCCCCTGCAGCCCGATTTACCAAAACTAAGATCGACAAGTGGAGCAACGCATAGCACGCCTTCATGCCTAGGCGAGGGAGCTGAGATGCGGAAAGTCCGGCTTTCCAAGCGACTCTAGACTCAAGCCGAAAAGCATCTTGATGTCGAGCAGCAAACGTCGCGCCGTTGCAGCGAGAGGAGACCGTTGATGACAGACGAATCAATGTGGCCCACCCCATGAACGACCCACGCGTGGTCTTGTGTAAAGTGGTGGTACATCAGTATTCGCATACCTCCACTAGTACTGTTCGTGTCCATCAATTGTCAATATCGCATCATGAGCCCAAGTCGATTCATGCGTGGAGGCAATTTGATCGTACCGGGTACGACGAATCGTAGTACTAGTACGATCAAACGTCAAACGACCCCGTAGTCTACAATAGAGGGGTCGTAGTATTTGGCGGGAAATCCCTAGAAACCTCTGAAATCGAGTATCTGGACTGCTCAATGTATGAGTGTCCATCTTTGATAGCAAGACCCCGTAGCCGGCACATATACTGATACCCCGGTGCTATTCAATGACGACTTCTCCACAAATCAAAGTCAAAACTAGAATTATGATGCAAGTACAACACTATTTAAATACGAGCGTGGTGGCTACAACCAAAAGTTCAAGGTCGACGCGCGGTCGTCGAGGATTTTGCCATGCGCCTCTTCGCGCCCCGCGGCCGCGAGCGCATTCATGTTGGTGAAGCTAAACGACCGAAAGGCCTCGGGCGTCGTCGGCGTCAAGAGCGGCGAGCCATACCCATAGTGCGGCGACGCGTCGCTCTCGGGGATCGCAATCGCATCGGTCGTCGGAAGGACGCTGTCGTCGTCACCGTCGACAAAGTCTTCGGTGAGGTTGCGGTTGTTGAAGTAACTCGTGTCGTACGGATCGTCGAGGGTCGGCACAAACGGCGGGCTCGTCTCGAGGAGCGTGTCCCAGTCGATGCCGTGCTCGGCGAAGAACGGGTGCGCCCGCAGCTCGTCCCAGCCCATGCGCTTCTCTGGGTCCATCTCGAGGAGGCGGTTGATGAGGTGCTCGGCCGACGCACTCAGTCGCTGGTCCTGGTTGGGCCACACAATATGCCCTGCGAGAATGTTGGAGAAGATGGCTTCGACCGTGTCGTCGTTAAAGGGCGGGAACCCCACCAGCATCTCGTAGCTACAGCCGAAAAATGAGTGCGCAGAAGCAAAGGGAGAGCTCACTACATGATGACGCCGAGGGCCCAGTAGTCGACGGGCGCGCCGTGCCGGTCGCCGAGGATGATTTCGGGGCTGAGGTAGTCGGGCGTGCCGCAGCGGTGCAGAGACTGGTGCGAGGCCGTCATCTTTCGTGATGGGCTCGACGCAAACGCCTGCAGAAACTCATCGTGGAGACCGTCGTCGTCATCGTGGTCGTCGTCGTCTCGGTGTTTGGTCGTCGTTGTCAGAGCGCCTGCAAATGACTCGTTCAGATCGTGGAGCGCTTCGTCGCGGTCGTCGGCTTCGTCCCACGTGACTGCTTCTTCCGAGAGTCCAAAGTCGGTCAGCTACGTATCCATTTTGATACTTGATACGTACAACGAAAATGGACGTACTTTGATGTGGCCGTTGACGCCGATGAGAATGTTGTCGGGCTTGAGGTCGCGGTGCACACAGCCTTTCGAGTGCAAGTGGTTGAGCGCGAGCGCGATCTCGGCAATGTAGATGCTGGCGACCTAGCAATGAACACTCTTGAGCCACAATCTTGGTATAAACTACGCGACATTTTCTTCCAAGCGCACAATGCACTCGAGAAGCGACATGAAATCGCCGCCCGGAAGATATTCCATCACCAAAAAGAGGTTGTGTCTACGCAAACATATGAGTTGCACCACTTGATAGATTGAAAATCATGTACTTGGACTGGAAGGTCCAGAAAAGCTTGACGACAAACGGGCTCTGGACGTTGGCGAGCACATTGCGCTCCGTCTCAATGTGGCCCAGCTAGCGTCGTGCCATAAGGAACGCTAAGAACGCATCGATGTATTGCGCACCTGCTTTTTGCGAAGGACGTGCGCTTTGGCGAGCACCTTGATCGCATACGGGTCGCCCGTGGTCTTTTTCCGGGCCAAGTACACGCGCCCAAACGCGCCTTTCGAGACGGGTTTGATAATGTCAAAGTCTCTACACCAGTGCGCTCCAGCGACAGCCCATACGCATCACACACGTACTGGATCGAGATGCGCGACGACCGGTGGCTTGGCAAGAAGCTGACGCTGGTCTCGACCGCGTTGTTTTCCAGCGATTTGGCGCGGTAAAAAGGTGCTGGCGCCGACAGGAGCAGCGGCGCATCGCGCGTCAGGAGCAATTTTTGAGTCGATCGCATCTGGCTCATCTTGGTGTGGATGAGATCGGCGATGCGGCTGGTAAACTTGAGCCCGCGCTCGAGGATGCTGCTCGATGAGAGCCTATCGGGGTCTCCGACCTCGAGCGCCTTGAGGAGCTGCACGCACAAGTCGAACGACTCGATGCTCGCAATGTCGCACATGGCCGCCTACAAGCCGTGAGCAGATGCAAGCGGATGATGTGACGTACCTGGAGCGCAATCGATCGCATCGTCTTGTAGTATTGCGTGTCGGTCTCGCTGAATGACGCACGGATGGCCTCGGTGCGCATCGTGGACGTGATGCAGTTGGCGACGCGCCGGAGCCGCGCGTTCAACGCGTCGGCTTGCTGCTCGTGCTTGCATGAAAAGACGCAAAATTCCGTGTGCTCTTCGAGTTGGTTGACGTCGACGAGGCATTCGCAGAGGCGGCAGACCACCGTCGACGTCTCACTCGTCGTGAAGCGGACGGCCGTTGGTCGCGGTGCCGTCTGAAGCCGCTTCAACACGTCCATCGCAGGCAGTGTGTCGACCTATACGCAACATGGACGCGTGAGAATGCGTACGTTTGTAGATAAGATTCGTACGTCCACGCCATCGATGGCATCGACCACAAGCCCTTTCCGCAAATCGCCGCCTGCGACGACCGTGATCGGCGACGGGCCGCCGGCATATGTCTTGACCATGACCTTGTCCTTGGACTCGAGAATCGACAGCTCGAGGCCCAATGTGCCTTCGCCAAAGACGACTTCGACGACTTCGGCGTCGTAGATCGTGGTCGTCGCCGGGTCCGTGAGGCGCCACTTGGACTGGTAATGATCCCAGCGCTCGCGCACGTGGGAGACGACCTTCTCATGGAGGCCATCCGTGCCTGGCCGCGGGATGTTGAGGCTGTATTGCCGGAGGAGCGACCGCGGGAACGGCGGCGGCGCCTGGGCGTAGAACGCGTCGAGGACCTCCATCATGCACCTGCCCCAAGGATATGGAAATGGAAAAGGCAGACAGAAAGAAACTTAAACCGGACTTAATCCAGCGTCCGGTTGAGCACAAAGATCTTAGAGCTTTGGGCCGTCATATTCAGCGCGCGCGGTGCAGGAGCAGCACGCTACCGAGTATAGAGCGAGACCAAAATGCTGCTTGCACATGAGCGTATGGTGGTGATCATCCATGGGCAGCACGTTTGGCTCACCGAGATCCATCGCCGCCGATCGCGACCTCGTACGTAACCGGATGGTTCCTTTTAGGGGCGTTTCGCACGACCCCTTCGTCAGAATGAATGAGCCGTTGACGCATAACGCACCGTAGTCTGCTGGACTGCGGACGCGCAGACCCCGCCTCCGGTGACGTCATGACGGTGCGTATCCACTATATTTTTAAAAGATCGCACCCGCGCTGAATATTTGTATGCATTCCAGTACACGTCGACGTTGAAGGTGGCCTAATCCAAAGGGACCGTGCGACGACCCCATTCGTGAAAATGATGGCAATGTCACGGCACGTCAGCCGTGGGTGGCGCATCGGTCGGCGGCGCGAGGTCCCGCTTGCACATGGGGCACGTCTAATTTAGAGCACAGATTGTCTCATAGCTCGCCGATCGAAAGCGACGTACAAAGTTTTTGCGCAGCCACTCGTCGATGCAGTCCGGATGGAAGAGATGGGCGCAGCTCAGCTGACGCAAGCGTTCGCCAACAGTAAATTCGACCTAATGCGAATCTGGTCAGCGCGCCACGAGAATGCAGCGTGCGCACCAAGCAGATGGGGCACACGTCGTCGGCCGACCCGTGCACCGTCGGCTCAAACTACTCCATGAAACCAAAAGTGACGTCATTTCCATGAGACTCGACCAGGACGCACCGGCACGAGCTCGAACTGGGCGATTTCGTCGTTCGAGAGACCTCGCGGCCGGACGGGCGCGCCTGGCTCGCCACCATGCTAGCAGAAATCTGAGTGATTATGGTGGCCACGATATGTATACCGCATGCCGGTGCAGCTTGCGGTACAAAATGTATCCAAAGCTTATGCACACCGCGACAAAGCCAGAGAGCATTGCGAGGAAGAGCGTCGACAAGTCCCACAGCGCATAGTCGGTAGACGGCAAGACCGGGCGGAAGAGACTCTTCGGCAGCACGGACGTGTTGCGCAGCCAGAGGTCGCCGAGGTACGTTTTGTCTTGGCCGCCAAAGACGAGCACGTTGTCGCGCCAGACAGCCATGCGGTGTCCGTACCGCTCGCTTGGACTCGCCTAGAAGCCGCCCATGACCACCACCTCTCGACACAATCCAACGTACAGCTGTGGGAGTGTCGGCGTAAAAGGTGACGGCGCGCGTCGCTTCGTCGACGTCCCCGACGATCGTGTCGGCAAAGACGGCCATCGAGCTGTCCGAGACATAGTCGAGGCCGCCAAAGAACCAAATGTTGCCGTGGACCGTCACGGCGCTCGTAAAGATGCGCTCGAGCGAATGGCTCGACGTCAAGAGCGTCCAGACACGGGGCGTTGTCTACGAGCATGTTAACAATGAGCTGAATGACTACAACTGCATCTCGGACCGAGTTGAGCGGTAGCATCCACGCATCGCGGAGGATGGTCCAGCCGTTGACTAAAATGTGCCGCCCGCTGAAAACCACGAGCTGCTCAACACCGTCGACTAAACGCGCCTGAGTGGGCCTCTCGCCATAGAAGTAAGATGTACCTGTGATGGTCGAGGCCGCATGGGAGAAGCGAGTTGCTGGACGCGGCGAGGCGTCACTTGTCGTGAGCTCGGTCCACGCGTGCGTCGTCAGATCCATGGCCCACGCGTCGTTAAAGTCGATGGGATACGAGTAGAGTGACGCGTTGTCAGGGACTGTGACGCCGCCGAAGACGACCATCGTGCTATCGTCGCCAGTCACGACCGCCGTCGCCTCGCTTCGGGTCTTGGGCATCGTGGCTTGGTCGCTGTAAACGACCGGCGTCCACACACGAAGCGGCAGCGAGAAGATCCACACGTCGTTCATCTGCACGTAGCCGTCCGAGCTCGCGCCCGGCGCGTAGAGCGTACCGCCAAAGATCACGAGCTCTTGTGTCGATGCGTGGGCCACCTACCGAATCTGCATCAGTCCATGCGTACAACATGGTGCTGAAGAGCCCACGGAAACGTGGTCGAAGCGCGCGCCAGGGTTCGTTTGGTGCGATGGTAGCGGCGTCCAGCTCTCACTCACCAAGTCAAACTAGCATGCACGTTGAGCTGCTCGATGAGGACGAGAAGACGCGCGTACGAGCCAAGTGTCGTTGAAGATGCGCTGGTCGCTCGTGCCGCCGTAAACGATGGCCGTGTCGTCGAGCACCTGGAGCGTACTCGAGTCGCGTGGCGGAGGGTACGTCGGCGAGAAGGACGGCGCTGCGAGCAGCGACCACACCTCGGAGTCTGCAATGGGCCATGAGAGACCTCATCAAGAGGGAAGATGTATGAGACCCGGCGTCGTCATGTGGCGACCAATGCGCATCAAGGCAAGATGGCAACTGGGCGTGAGACTAATATTAGCTCGTCGTCCGTCGCCGAACTCGCCAGCGCGTCAACCGAAGTTTCCTTTTTCACATCCAACCCCTCTGCCATTGGCAGCGCCGTGCAAGGCCACGACGCACGCCGGTGTAGCCATGAAGCGCTGGGTTGGGAGCTCGTGGGACTTGACGTGGAAATTCCCCAAATGCAAATCACAAACATAACGCGTCGATCGTTAGAGGTCGGTCGCAATTAGGGTGTTGTCGTCGAGCGTGTTGCTGTTGTCCAGCATGGGCGCGACAACACCAGGCGTTGAACACGATGCGAGAACATCGCGCTTGCACATCGGGCACGTCTACGCACGCGTCGAGTTATTCTCGCGGGTTCGAGTCCGTCGCTCTCACTTGGTTTTGTGCTAGCCACGACGCTATGCACTCGCCATGGAAGGGGTGCGTGCAGTTGAGGACCACCAACGTCTCGCCGTCCTCGAAATCCACCTACGAAGCGTCAAGCAACGAGCGCCGTCACGCCCTGTGCACCAAGCAGATGGGGCAGAGCTCTTCCGTCGCATCGGTCGTCGTAAACTATGCGCGGCGTCAAGATCGAGTCGTCCCTATTGCGACTACCTTGGCGCGCTGGAACGCCGCCATTTGGTCCTTTGTGAGACCGCGGCGCGGTGTGGGGCCCAAAGGAGCCACCCGACCGACCTACCGGTATCTCCCATGCAGTCAACCAATGAAGTTTCATTCGAACCGGTGGGTGACGATAGCACTTGAGGTAAATGAGCTTTGCTGCAATGACGAGAAAGATGATGGCGCTGACCAGAATGATGCCGCCTTGGACGAAGATGAGAATATACTCGGTGGACGACGCATCCGCAGTTCCCGCCCAATATGTGGGCGGCGACGACGTGTTGCGAAGCCAGAGGTCGCTGAAGCAAAACTGGAACCGACCGCCGTATACGAGGAGCTGGTCGCGCCACACGGCGGAGCGGTGGTCGTAGCGCGCAGACGGCTCGTTGACCATCTACATAGCGATGCTGTTGCTTGCGGCAAATCGGCGAGCGCATGAACCATTTGCGACGACGAGTCGCTCCCAAACGAAAGGGTCTTGGGCAGAGCACCGAGCATTCCCGCCAGCGTATCGTCGTACGCGATGGCGTCTTGGCTGCGGTCCGAGAGAAGACTGAAGCCCCCATAGAGCCACACCGCGCCTTGGATGGTCACGGCGTCTGTGAAGATGCGGCTCATGGGCGGCTGCACCGTCGGCACCATCATCCACGCACGCTCGGCGTTCTAGAATTTGGCCGAATGGGATCCATTGCACGACATGCTCGGAGAACGATTACCGTCGTCAGCGGTAGGAGCCACACGTCGTTTAAAAGGGACCACGTCGCGCCACTCAAATGGCGGCCAGAAAACACCACAAGCGTCAAGACACCGCCGACTGTCATGCATCGTTAGCAGTATAACAGAGACATGTGTGGAAGGCGCTACCGGTGGTCGTTGTCATGCTGTGCGAGAAGCGCGGCGAGGGCAACGGCTTGTTGCGATCCACCGCCATGAGCGTCCATTGCAGCGTCTTAAAGTCGAGGGACCACACGTCGTTCCGGTCGACGGCAGAGCCGCCTGCAATCGTGAGGCCGCCAAAGATGACCATCGCCGACGGTAGTGAGACCGCGGCGGCTTCGCTCCGAGCGGCTGGCGCGCTGTCGATAGTGGCGATGGGAGCCCACTCGCACGTCCCGACGTCCAAACGCCAAAGGTCGTTTGCCGAGCGAAAGCCGCTGCGCGTGCTCGGGTCGACGACCATGCCGCCAAAGACGTACACGCTGCGGTCGTTGGTCGCCTACGCACGCGTCGGTAGATTCGTAGCAGCGACAGATGCAGTACCGCGACGTGGCTATAGCGCGCAGTCGGTCGAGTTTGGGGCCTGCATTGCGACCATTCGTTGCGCACCAAATCAAACTACGAGAGGATCAAACGTGCGACTGCGCATGGGAGTAGCACCTTCCACGTGTCGTCAAAGGCAAGGTTGTTGCCGTTGCCCGCACCACCAAACACGATCGCTTCGTCGCCAACGACTTGGAACGCCATGGCGTCCCGAGCGCGTGGCTCCGCCAACGTTGTCGGAAACAACTGCGTCCATTTTCCGGATGCGTCGGTCCTAGCTACGCGCGTATGAGCTCGATGCCTGCGACCGAAGCGGGGCGACGCACGCAGGTGGCAGAGGACGCTGACGGCGGCCGTCAGCCACAGCATGTTTCGCTTGGTATTTTTAGTTGCCATCGCCGGACGTTGCACTCGTCATAAAGCATCGCAGACGCCGTCGGGTTCACGAGCCGATGCCGCGTGCCAGCCAGGGCTAGGGTCTAAACGCAGATGTCGGGTCCATGCCGCAGCGCGATGATCGTTCGAGGTTGTCTTTCGTGCGCTGCCACAAAGATGACGCACATAATGAAGGGTATTTTTGGAACATGGAAACGTGGACAATATGACAACTAGATGGTAAATTCGCGCAGCGCGCGACCGGAGAGCATCTCCCACTCTTCGTTTTGGCGCATCCACTCGAGTTCGCGGTAAAGGTTGAGGGCCATGGGTCGCGCGCGTGGGTCCTTTGCAAGGCACTCGGAGGCCAAGAGACGAACGGCTTCCGGGCACGACGGCGACACGGCCGGTCGGAGGTTCTCGCTTAAAATCTCGTTGAGCACGACGAGCGGTGCGACGTGGAGGTCGCTGTAGACGGGTTCGTGCCGATCGAGCTCGACGAGGATGCACCCGAACGCGTACAGGTCGGCTTCTCGCGTGAAGGGCTCGCCGTAGAGCACTTCCGGTGCCGTGTAAAACGCGTCATCGCGAGGGACGTCGCGGCGGAGGCCCGTGGCCGAGAGCTTGCAGTGCATCGAGTCGATGACGAGCACGTTCTTGGGCTTGAGGCCGCGATGCAGCACGTTGGCTTCTTCGTGGAGGTAGGCGAGCGCGCGCGCAATGTCAAGAGCAAGCAAAAGCTTGGTGCTCCACGGTGCGGCGCGGTGGCGCTGGAGGAACGCCGGGAGGTCACCTTGCGCCAAGTACTCGGTCACAGCGACAAGCGACGAGAGGCGCCGGTTGTCCCATGCAAAGCCGTGAAAACGCACAATGTTGTGGTGCGTCAGCCGCGCCATGACGCGGATCTCTTCCGTAAACACATCTAAGGACTCGGGCGACAAGGTCTTCTTGATCGCAACCGTCTCGGTGCCGAGGCGTCCGACCCACACTTCGGCCGCCGCGGACCGAGATAAAACGCGGTCACAGACAACGTCCTTGTAGGCGAGACGCTTGGCGAGAAGCCGCGGATCGTGCTGGAACTGCGCCGAGGAGGACGCCGCGGCAACGGGCGACGAGTCGATCGCATTGCTGCTCGTCAGAAGGCGCGTCGAGCGTGGGCCCCAGATGCGTGGTGACACCGACGGGTCTTTCGAGGGGTGGGCAGCCCGGCGTTGAAAGAGGCATCGAATGAGGTACAAGAGAAAGACGAGTCCAAAGACGCCGCCGATTCCAATCCCGATGAGCTGGACGGTGGGGTTGCTCGGCGATACCTGGTGGTTGGTGTCGGAGGTCTCTGATGTGGGTTGTGGCTGTGACGTCTTGTAGTATGCTGTGAGCCAGTCGTCCATGGCCGCACTTGGCGCTGGCAGACACCGATTCGTCGACTCGGCGCGTTGGTTGCGCACTTCGCACGGGATCGTGAGTGCGCTGCGACCGGGCAGCGGGCACGAGCCCCACGGCGCCTCCGGGTACCGGCCGTGTGGCTGCGTGTGGATCGCGGGCTTTGTCCAGCCTGCGTTCACGTCTTCATGTTGAAAGACGCGCGGCTCGGGCACGTCACTCAGAGGCAGGTCGTCCTGCGCCAGCTGACTCGAGTGGCCGTCGGGGAAGCCGTTGAGGTCGATTGCGCACTTGGCCATGGCGTCCGAGAGCTTTCCGTCGCAGTTTTGCGATCGAAGCACGGTCGTATTGCCGGCGCTTTGGCACTCGGTGCGGTTGTTGAGCGGCACGTGGCCGTTGAGGAAGGTGGCAAAGTTGACGGCAATGTCGCCCATGGGCACGCCACTGCGGTCGCTCGTGCAGTTGGTGTAGACTTGTACGTACGTGTCTGCGCCATCGGCAAAGCCAAGGACAAACCCGGCGTCCCAGATAAGTGCGCGCTGCAGAAGCGACGGCAACGACGCCCAGCGCAGGCTGAGCGCCGAGAGCCGCTGGACCACGGTGGGTGGCGGCGGCAGCGTGAGCGGGGCCGGGT